TTTCCTTTTCCCTTCCCCTTTGCCCCTTTAAAACCCAAAAAACCAAAAACCCCCCCGAAGGGGTTTTTTTTTTTTTTTTTTTTTTTTTTTTTTTTTTTTTTTTTCTGTAGTCACGCTAGGCTGGCCGCACCGCACTGTTTCCTCTTATATCCTCCTCTGAAAACGTGGAAGCAGACAAGACACAAACAAGAAACGGACCGATCAATAAATCCAATCTTGTCCTGCTGCCAGGTGAAGTAGGCCTGAGAGGCTTCTGGCATCGACACTCACAGACACTGTTCCTGTGCTGTGACACCTTGGAGCCTCCTGGTTTTCTCCTAGAGACTAAAAGCTATTTTATATATATATATAAATAAAAATGAAAAAAATGTGCAAAGCTGAAGCTTGGCCACATAAAGCCTCTGAGATGTACGAGTCTGCACAAAAGCTGTCGGAAGAGAAAACTGTGAGCCGTCGCTGCTGGGCACGCGGGTTCAGGAATTGCTTTTTATCGTTAATGTCTGAGAGGATGCTTGTCCTTCACGTTGATGGAGCTTTCATTGTGACTTCTGCTGCGTTCGAAATATGAATCTTAATGGTGTAGAAACATGCTATAAAAGACATCTACATCCTCTATTCAATCTCTAATAGATCAAGGTTCTGAAATGCTTCTGAGCGATGGGTTAGGAAATGCAATAAATCATGCAAACGTTTTGAAAGAGCTCTAATATAGGTTATTCTGTGCAATCCGACAGCTGAAGGGAAGTAATTTCACAGAAAACGGTTCAAGGAAATTCTCGGAATTTGTATTTACTTTATATTTTTTGACAGCAGTGATTCATCCCCTTATATATATTTTTGTGTTCTTCCAAAACTCAGTGAGCCTTTGCATGAAGAGAATTGAGTTGTGGTAGGACAACAAAAGGGAAATATTTTCTTTTGGTTTTTACAATTCAGTGAATTTAAAACTTTTGTCTTCTGCTCTTTTTATTTTTGCCCATATTTTCTATCAAGCAGTTAAAAAGATATGAGCCTAGTAGAATATAAATGTATATTAGATATGTCCCAACCGTGATGTAATTTTTATAAGAAATTTTTTAATAACATATTTATTAAAGCTATGTCATAATAGTGAAACATGACAGCAAATCAGTGTAAAAAATGTATCTCCTCTGCCTTCTCCTTGTGGTCCTACTGCCATCTGCAGAAATGCATCTGCTGTCAGTCCGAAACAACCAATCAGAGCCAGGAGGAGGGTCTTAACGCTGTCAATCATCCCCTATTCATGTGCTGCTAAATGTGCTAGTGGTGGAGAAATAACTTACCATTACAGGAAAACTGTTTCTCCACGGTCATTGTGGGCGGTCAATTGTGAAAATCAATAATAAGAAATAAAATAAAGAGCAATAAAGTATAATTAAACGTTTACAGAGCATAATAAACAATTAATGTAATTGTAACATGATATTTCAACATTTTTTTTGACTGTTTCTCCGTAATTAATGAAAGAATCTAACTAAAATGAAACACATAAGATGTTTTCTTATGGGTTAGGCGTGAAATGACCGTGCATGGGTTTGAAATGGGTTTGTAAGTTGTTAAAGGAATGAACTGACCCAGAGTCCATCCAGAGCAGTGTGTGTTTATGCAGGCGGCGCAGCAGCAGGCAGAGTGGGTGACATGACACAGATGGGCCCGGGCGGCGCCTCCGTCTTCCCCACTGGAAACATCCTTAGTAGAGGACGAACAAGGCCGAGACTCTAAGCAAACCTAAAATTAAATCAGCAAAACCACATGTGCATCTATGATGACGTTTCGATAGCAGAGCACCCAAAAAAGGCTCTGATTGTTAAAAATCTTCACATATTATGCAAACAATGTGCTGGAGAAAAGGTTTTGTCAGGGACTCCTGGTGTGTGTTGTTTGAAAATGCTGAGATCAGAACCCTGAGGTAACGCTTGAGATTAGACACGGACATCTTCATAATGTTACCCTATTAAAAATTGTGCCTGGAGAATATGGCGGGATTTATTTTTTTGCATATTCGCTGAAAGTGCGAGAGTAAACTGACAGATTGTGTGATTAAAATGAATGTTGTGCATATAGGTTCCTTGTCCATATATTTGCCTTAATCTGATATTTTTTGCCATATTAAACGTCTTTGTCTTTGCATAAAGCTGTAACTAAATAAACGGCAGAATCCTGGTGAGGTGAAAGTCAAGTTTGTATTCAGACTGAACAAATCTCAAGTAGGAGATTTAACTCTTCATTTAGAGATTAAAAACTGAGTTGGAAGTTTTGTATGTCGTCTGAAATTTCAATAAGTTTTTTTTTTTTTTCAGCTGTCGCTATTACAAAACTGACCTGGGTTTTCCCTTGCCTATCTTTTTTTAATATAATGTTTCATAGCAACTCTAACTGCTGAGGTCACGCCCTGATAAAACTGTGACGGAGATAAACCCTAAAAGTGTCAGGAAATGGGTTCCTCTACATTTTTGGTCAAGTTATTCAAATTTGAAATCTGAACGTGTTCCAGAGCAAACACACCTGACGATGTAACTTTGACCTTTCAGATCACCTTAACAACAATTGGCTACGGCGACAAGACGCCGCAAACCTGGACCGGCCGGTTGCTGTCAGCCGGTTTTGCTCTGCTTGGGATCTCGTTCTTTGCTCTGCCTGCTGTGAGTAAACAAACTTCAGGAGTTAATGCATTGTCATTTTCATATCTTCATTTTCTTCTTCTTTTTTTTTAATCATTTCCTGTTGTTGTGGTGTGCATTGTTGCCTGGCAGGGCATCCTGGGGTCAGGTTTTGCCCTGAAGGTGCAGGAGCAGCATCGCCAGAAGCACTTTGAAAAAAGGAGGAATCCAGCTGCCAGCCTCATCCAGGTATAAACGCACACGGTCAACAAAGACGTTTCTTACCCACTGGGTTTTTCACTTCCCAGCAGCACTTTTAGCGTTGGAGGTCCGGCGTAAACACAGATGTCTTTCTTTCGTTTTATCCGGAAAACTCCGCTTGTCCGTTTCAACTACCTTAGCTTTTCTCTGCCTTTGTTTTGTGTTTTCACGTCGGGACGGCGGCGTCCACTGCGGGGAAATGTAGCGGCGTCTAATGAAGCGCTTGCTCTCAGTGAGCCTGTCCGTGTCTTCTGGCCTTCTTCAGGCCGTCAGCGCATCCAGCTGACGGCGTCGTAAGGTGCGTCAGGCTGAGGCACGGTGTCGTATCTCGGGGCCAACAGCAACACACGATGCAAGGATTTACGAGCCGTTTCCATGGCAATCATTCCCCTCAGGCAGACGCTCTCCTAGAATGTCACTCATTGTTATAGACAAGAGCATTGCTTTCCAACGGGGGGAAAAAATAAACATCTGCTGTGGGGTGTCAGCAGAAAGCAGCAGACTTTCTCTCTTTCAGTGTTTATTATTTTTTTTCTACCTCCTTTCTTTTGTAGAACACGTTTGCCTCACGTTTTGAAGAGATCTGTCTGGTAAAGTGACTGAAAATCACTGTTTCTTTACTATCTGTGCAGCAGTTCATGATGCTCAGCACTGTCAAAAGATAACATGAATCCAACACCAAGAATACTTGTTTCTAAATCTGGTAAAAATGTCTAAAAAGCCTTAAAAACAAAAAAGGTATATTTTATTACACTAATGTAATCTCAACCTGAAAATGAAAAAAATCCACTGTTTAATCTGAGTTAATTTATTCAGTGGGGGGGAAAATCAATGTATTCATCTATTAAGAACATATCTTTCTGTAGTTTCATCATAGATACCTCGGAGAGGTTTCTATCGATCACTCATTTTTGCAAAATATCCACAGCATCAAGAATGTCTTCTTGTTCACTTCCAGGCTTCCAGATTCAGGTCACCAAACTGAGTTGATCCATATCACCTTTTATTTAGCCCTATGGTTTAGATCACTATCCTACTGAAAGAGCCAGTAAAGCAGGGCCGGAGCTAGAGGAGTTGCAGCCCGGGCAGCGTTGGCCACCACTGGAACCTGAGTTGACACCCCAGGTGCCTCCCAAAGTTTGAAAAGAGAAAAATCAGCCTGGGACTTTCCCCCACTGAATAAATGTACTTAAGTGTAATTAATTCGTACTATAGTAATGAAAGATGAAGTTTTGTTCAGATTTTTTACACGTCTTTACCAAAACGGCCCACAAGAATAAGTGATTAATTTCCACCCCAACTGGACAGCTGTTTGTTTTACTAGCTCTGTCCGGCTGCCTGACGTTTTGCTAAGCGCTTAATATTTTCTTCAACAGGTACCCTTCAGAAGGAAACATGGAAGCTGTTAAATATGTGGATGATATTGTCACCGTCTCTGTGCACTCTACCATTTCACACATTTCTCTCACCTTTAAATAGCTGTTGGTTCTGTGTTGTTGTTGTCGTCGTCGTCTGCATGCAGGGCAGGAAATTACCACTGGTTTCAGGTCACAGCAGTCGATCCATTTTTAAAACAGGACTGCTGCTGCACCACCTTTGCTTTCTTTAAAACGGAGTTTCAGAGCAAAATCTCCAAAGTCATTTCAAACTGGCTCCGTCTTGGGTAGGACTCCAGTGTTAATTTCAAACATGTCTGTCAAAAATGTTTTGACACCAATCTTGTAACCTTACTTGGCACCAATAAGGAGGTTAAGTAATCTTTAAGTAAAATATTAAATCTCAATTTAAATTAAAAAAAAGAAAAATGCAAACCTTGTGATGGATTATGTTTATTTCTATAAAACGGCTTGCAACATTTTATTCAAATTTAGGCCTGTTGAGTCAAAAAAGTTCCTCAAGGAGCGGATTCTACGACAAATTGTAGCCTTTGATTAGTTTTGTTTTTGGTGGAAATGCTTTGCTTTTTGTGTTGATCTGACAATTTAGCCAATTTTCTTTATGAGAGCCATAAGTACATGTACACCGAGAAATTGTCTCATGATTGAAATTAAATAATTCTTCAGCTTGAAACTCAAAAATCCAATCCTTTGTCAATCAGTGAATACACCACGCCTCAGAAGCAACAGATTGCGCTCAAAATAAAACTCTTTGGTGTGGAAGTTGTTCCTGAGTGAAGCAAACCCACAACTTATTATTCTCAATATCAGAGAGGTGTTTGGAAATGAAAAACCAGTACTTTCCGCTGAGGTCAGAGGTTACATTTAGGCTAACAAGAGTCAGCTAGACTTCCCCAAGTGCTGCTCATTGATTTTCTTTTTACCCTTTATACAGTTTAGTTTATTTCGGATCCTCACAGGACCCATCTGCATAGGCTGTCAGTACCTTGGAGACATTTTGTCGAATTGACAGACAATCAAATTGACTCTAGGCAGACTTCAGTAGACGCCAAGAATGTTGTGTTTAGTGCAGCAAAGTTGCTCTGTTTTAATCTTTAGAGCTTTTAACCTTTGCATATTGTGAAGTATAATGGGTTTGGAAATGTTGGCAGCCTTTTGAAAGTCTTACAGTAAGGTTAAGGTAATAGCTTGCATTCTCAAGAGACTAAATAGATCAGCTGTCTACACTTACTGACTTTAATTGTGCTGATCTTTAATAAAAGAGGATTCTAGACCGTTTAAAATGTGAACTCCAGAATCGCTTTGTCTTTGTTTAAAATTAACAAAGACATATTTTTTTTATTGAATCAAATTCATATTGGCAACTATACAGCAACCTGAGAGTGTTTTTTGTTTGTTGCAATTTGGAAAACAGAGAGATTTTCTATTTGATTCTGTGCTAACAATTGTTAGCAACACTATCCAATAGCACATTTTCCCAAATTGTAGACATTCAAGTGTGGAAAGAACATTTTTGAAAGTATTTTTTTCTAACATTAAAACATAAAACCTCTTTCGTGTAAACTTAAATGCAACAATCTTTGAACATAAAAGCAACTTTCCAGCAGTTTGATGGTTGTAGAAAATAACTAAATTGCAAAACCTGCAGAAGCATCAACGATGTTCACTCAACTGTTGTTAAGCCTAAAACAAAATCTTCAGAGAACAGCCTGTTTCATCTGCAATTATAGAACAAAAGTATGAGGGATATTTCAAAACTCACTCGTGTAATAAAAAAATGGAAAAGAAATGTGTGTTAAACGAACAGACAGTTCAAAATAGACAAAATAGAACAAGTATATCCTGTGTCAGACTCACACATGTAATCGTTAGCTAAGCTTTAAAAAAAAAAAAAAACATTTCTTGCTTCTGTAAAGCATACTGAGTATTTTCTCTGACTGGTATTGCAGCCTCTGGCTTGTGCTCCATCGTATTTTTTGATCAAGTGCACTGATTGGCTTCAAATTTGTATGAACGTAAACTCTGCGCGTTTGAAATGCTGACGACACAGAAAAAGGAGGCCAGGGTATCGGTTTCTCTTCGGCTCATCAAATCAGAGAACCTCCTTGTTTTGATATTTCAAGACCTCCTGTTTGCTGCCAGCAGGTTACATCCCTGTATGTCAAATGTTCACATTAATTTCCGTTCCTTCCCCCCCCTGTTTGTTTTTTTTTTTTTTTTTTTTTTTTTGCCCTAATGTGTGGTGTTTTTCTGTGTGTTCCACATGAATGTGTGTGTCCTGTCCATCTCTGATCCCTCCCCCGCCCCCCCACTCAGGCGGCTTGGCGTCTGTACTCCACCGACGGCGCTCGTCCCTACCTCAGAGCCACTTGGCATCACTACCAAAGCGCGCTCCCCCCCCTCAGGCATGTATCCCCTCCACCAGCACCACCATCACCGCCCCACCTAACCTCCAGCACCCTACAACACTGCATCAGCACTACCAAAAAAAAAAAAAAAACTAACAAAGATTTTCTTTTGTTTTTTTCCTTGTTTTGTTCCCCACCCCCCTCCTCATCATCATTCTCTCATGTCGTTCCCAACTTATGCAATCCCACCCGTTTTTGTTTTCCTCCCCACATTCCATTGATCGTTTCTTTTACGATTATTTATCCTGTCAACTTTGCACGTAGTGTGTCTGGCGTAGTTATGCTGCTGATGAGAACTCGGTTTCTATTGCTACCTGGACGCCTCATTTGAAGGCGTTGCATACCTGCAGCCCCGCCAAGTAGGTAACAACTTACAGACTTACAAACATGGCCGCTGCTGTTTAGCCCCCTTTTCCTTCGTTTCCTGCTCCTCAACTGATGTCTGTCTGTCCCTGCTGATGCCGTTTCTGCTTTCAGTTGACTGCTTGTTTATAAAAAGTTCTAACCATTTCTGTATCTTTTAACATTTTCCTCCTAAATCAGACTCGTTTTGCTTGGCATGTACAACTTGCAGCATTCCTCTAACTTCGAAGCTGACCAGCGACCCGCTGGGGCGTCAGGGTTTCCGTTGATACTTTTAACTTCAACACTGAACACCTATTTTAAAAGTTTTTTTTATAAAATGACCACAAATTTTGGTCATCTAAGATTTCCCAAAAATATATTTATTTAGACCATGACAAACTAGTGCATGGTACCAATGTGGAAGGATAAAAGTGCGCTAATTTTATTTTGTTTTAAAACCTTAAGTCTGAAATGTGTGGCATGCATTTCTCTTAAGTTACTTTAAATTTGACACCTCTGTAGGGCCTCAAAGTTTTGGTAGAGAACAAAAAGAAAGTTAGGCTGTAAAACAATATTCTAAACATTTGAGAACCTCAAAGTCCTGTTGAAACCATCTTCTGAAAATGGACAAAGGACAACAACAGTGAAAGTCTTCAACAGACTAAAAGGAGATACTATATCAGAGAAGCAGCCAAGAGGTTCTTCCAGAATGAATCACTGCGTCAAAATATGTCAGAATCCAAATTTAACTCTAAACTACAGTACAAACTAGAGCAAAACGTGTCTCTGCAAAGTGTTTGACATGAACACATACCACACTTTTTGCATTTTATCCATTCATACTAATTTCTGTGAGCAATCAGCGTCATTATTATGTAACTCTTTGAATTTGGTGCATCACTTAAGATCCCAATGAAAACAAAACAAAATGTGCAAAAATTCCTTATGCGTGAATACATTAGCAAAGTAGCAACACATTAATATTCAGAGTTTAATCCAAGCATTAAGTCAGTCAATGACTGACTTAATGCTTGGATTTCAAACTTAAGGTTTTAAACACACAAATTACACACAACAAGAAAAAAACTTGTATAATGAAACATTTCAAAGGTTTGTGCAGAGGCAGCCCTAAGGGATGGGATCAGGGGGGCCATAACCCCCTCTTGAAAAATGTTGGGCTCCCGCTGTCTCCCAAAGAGAATCATGTTCAGGTCATTGAAAGGCATACAGACTCATGTTCAATCAATAGATAATGTAAAAAACCCCAAAATAAATTATAAAATAAAAACAAAACAAAAAGGTGTCAAAATAAATAAGTAGATATATATTTCTTGTTGTGCCTCTCCTAAAATTCTTACTGGCCTGCTCTGGGCACCCCTATGACAACACTGTGGGGCCGTCGCTGGGTCCATGGTCTTTCTCTGAGCTGATGCTGAGCTTTGCTGTGCATGGCGACAGCTTGCATGCGCTTTGATGAAAGCTGGTTGTGAAGTTGTTTTGGCTGGATGCCTTCCCTAACCATTGATGGAAATATCCGTATGATTTTATTCTGCTTGAAAACTGATTTCTCTCCCTTTGTCTCCTCCTCCTCTGTGTCCCACTAACCCCTGAAGGAAAGAGCAGGGCGAGACTGCCTACAGGTTTGTATGACTCTCAGTTTGTATGCATAAAACCACACAGACACTGAACATGCAGTAAAACTCAGATTAGTGCTGATGCTGTGTCGTAATTTTTTATGTACTTTCCTCTGGTTTTCTGGGCTCTTTGCATATTTGTTGACGTATTCATCTCTCATTTTGAAGTGTGCGCTATGACTCATATTTATTTATTAGCTTGTTGACATTTACTGTCGTGGAAATAAACATTTGAACCTCTGCTGATTTTGCAAAGCCTTATAAAAGACATGTCCATGCTACAGAGAATATCAACCAAAAATAATAAGCAAAAAAGATATAAATAGAGATTTACTAGTCAACATCAACCTGTCGGTTCTGATGTTGGCTTATTCTAATTTCACTACAAGAACTGTGACAGAAAGTCTGAAAACTGATGTTAAAATATTTTATTTGTCTCCTATTGTGAGCAACCACTAAGTTACTAACAGAACATTTTACTTATTGAAAGCAGAGACAAAATTTGACATCCTATGGTACAGCTTCAGTAACATAGAGATACTTTCTTTAATTTTTTACATTTCAGAAATCCAGCATATTCCATGACAGACAGGTTAAACGCTCTGAAGAATAACACAGAACAAGCTCAGTCTGTTACACAAGGACTCCCTGTTATTTGCTGAAAGCCTAGCTCTCTCTCGCTCTCTCACAGCCTCCATGAATCACAGTCATCCCTTGACATGCTATAAGAAAATTAGCCTCCTCACACATCACTGGCATTAAAATTTGCTGAATTTGGGTTTTCTGTCAGGAAGAACTTCCAACCTGGAGAGCGTTGTTGTTAGGCTTTCACCAACCACAAAATGATCGCATGTTTAAGATTTAAGCAGAAAACCAACCAATTATGGTTATTAATCATATTCTTGGTGCAACTTCATATAATACTGTTGCTTCGCTGAACGAGAGGGGGAAAAAAAGTTTGAAAAAAGCCACACTGTGGTGTTAGAATACACAAAGTATAAAAGCCAAATCAACAGGTTTATTTTGATAAAGGTTAATCAAAGATGTTAAGATCTCTCTTTTTTATTTCTGTGCTTAGTAAAGCTGGTTTCTGTTTCCTTCCAGCTCATAGATACAATATATTCCACTGCATACTGTTGAACATGCACCAAGAAAAACAACCAATAGTATTTTGAGCCACTTGCAATAGTGCAGATAAAGTGTGACATCTGCTATAGAGCAACATTGCGTGAAGATGCAGTATGCTTCTATTCTGTGACATAATTTTCATGTTGAACTTCATCTTTTTCAGTTTTTAAATCTTTCTCTCCTCTTCCCTTCCCTGACTTGACCCTTCACCCCTACAAGGTCGATTGTTGTCTTTGCTGCGTGTGTGTGTTTGAGCATTTCTCATCTTGTACACTGTAATATCCAACAAATATCACACTGTGAAGGACCCGCTGCCCCAAAAGAAGACATGTTGCTTGGGGTTAGGCACCAGGTTCAGGATTCAAGCATGACCTGAGTTTAGAGTTATCCATGTGCTGCTAATGGTTTCAATGCAAAGTCCTTATGAGGATAGAAAGACGTAACGTGTGTGTGTGTGTGTGTGTGTGTGTGTGTGTGTGTGTGTGTTTGCTCCCTTATTCTTTATCACATGCCTTCAAAGACAGAAGTCTGTACCATGTCTGTACCATTACACACTTTTTCCATTGAGATGGTATTTATATAACTCATCAAACACAAAGTCTAGCGGCGACTGACTAAAGCTTAAGAAAGGGGGAGGGAAACAGGAGAAAGGGGATTCAAGAACAAGAGGAGTTAAAAAAAAAACAAGAGATTTGTGAGTTTAATTACGCTAGTATAGTTTTTACAGTGCAGCGTCTCTTTGTCAACATTTGGAGGCCTTATGTTGAGCCAGCAGCTTCATCTGCATTTAAACTGGAAACCGCCGCACACAATACGCAAGTGAAAAAGAATCCGTTTGCGCTCTCTGCCAAACACACAAACAAACGTACGTCTCATTCTTCAACGAAATAGGACTTAATTAGGCTTTGTCGCTTCCACAACAGCTATTCCCCAGAAATCCTTCTGCTTCAACGACTTAGCGTAATTATGTTTTCCTTTCTTAGAAACTTTTTGCTGCAGCCAAGTCCAATTTACACTTGTTAAATCATAATTACCCGCACTTTTATGACACTGTTTTCTTTTCTCCACGCTGCCCTTTTTACGGAGGGAATACGTAAAGCCTTGGCGTTATTAGCGGTTTTACAGACTGTCGACTCTCGGCAGCTCGACGGCGGTAGGTGCCGTGGTAAACGGCCTGTGATGTTCGTTTAGCAGACCTGTAAACACCAGCAGTTGTAAACGCTTGGCGCACCGCAAAGTGCTGCAGCGGATATCAAGCTGTGTGTAAGTGAGTTGTGTTTTGGCAGTGTGAGATGAAGGATAACGGAGTTTACTCTTTGGGTTATGAGTGTAGACAGGTGGGGTATGTTGAGCTGGCTTGCCTTTTGTGGCGCACTTAAGTTTAATTCAGCCCCTATGATGTGGAAAATCAAGAAAATAAAAACATTGACCAATAAACAATTCGTGAAATTAACTTGTCTCTTTGGTTGCTTTCAATCTGGATGCTATCTGCAAATGCTTAAAGCTGTAGCGGACGATCTGGTTTGTTATGTCAAAGTCCTGCAGGTTTCAAGTTTTTTGTTTGGCAGCATGGCTCGGATAACAGCTTTCACTCCAAGCTAAGCAAACAAGGCTATCAAACATGTCACATTTAATCTAAAACCGGCCAAACCGAACATGAACACAACACATTTTTCAGCCTTTTGTTTGACAGACAGATAGTGAGAAATTTGTCCAAACCGCAGTGCCTTCCAAAAGTATCGGTACTCCTTGATTTTTTTTCCCTCTTTTTCCATGTTCTGTCACGACACAATCCCAAACTTTGATTTATTTCATTGGAATGTTAATGCGACAGACCGACGCAAAAGCAGTACGTCACGGAGACATCAAATTAGCGAGACGGATAGTTTTTAAGATTGTTTGACCAATAAAGAAATGTGCTTTGTTGGATTTCTATTCAGCCTTCTCGAGTCAGCGTTTTGCTAACCCAGCTTCGCCAAACTGCAGCTACATCTCTTTTGGAGAATGTCTCGTGAACTTTGGACTTTGATCAAGCCGTTCTAAATGAAAGCTCCAGGTGTAATTGTAGGGCAGATTCTTGACTCAAGTCAAGTCTTCAGCTCCGTTCGTCCTCTCATTAATTTTAAAAAGTGTCTCTGCGCGCGTCTTTCTCACAGCTCTAAGCTCTTCCACGTTCATTACGACCTGTGACCAGAACGCTTTACCTTTGCTTTGTCCCCCATCTAATATCCTTATTAGAACATATAAAAGTAGTTTTTTTTTTTTTCCTGCAATTACGGGCTAGTGTATGTGCTAGTCCAAATCAAATGTAATGATGTGTAGCTTGAGCAGATAAGTACACTTAAAAGACAGAATTAGGATCATTCTGAGCCATCCTGTGACAGGAAAGAAAAATAGTCCGAAACCTTTGGCTGAGAAAATAGATTCGGTGTCAGGAAAATACATTAACCATGTATTTCATCCCAACTTGAGAGGTTCTTGAGCTCAGGTGGGTATGCTGCTACCCGCTTAGCTTTTCCTCTTTGAAACGTGTCCTCTGCCCTTCTGAGTGTTGAGTGTGTGTCGGTCCTGAAAGCAAAGCCTCTGACCTCGTTCAGCTCAATTCCTCTTCCTCTTCACCCCTTTCCCTTTCCTATTCTCTCTCTCTCTCCTTTAGTAAGGGTCTAACTAATGGGGGACTCTTCAGAAAGTGTTCTCGGAAATATAGGAGGTACTTATAGTAGCATCTTCTCTGGCCTGGTCTAAGCCCAGAATTTCATGCGAACGATTGACTAATAGCATGAAAGAGAACAAAAAGAAAACCTTCCTCATACAAATCTCCTTGGTCCCTTTTATGATTTAAAAAAAAATTGTCTGAGACGGCTACTTCTGCCTGCTGCCTGCTGAATGCAAACAAGACCTTGGTTCCAAGTTACAATTTAAAGGGGAATTACATCAGAACCAGAATAATGCTTGACATTATCTTTTTATAATTTGATACGAAAAGGCTTATTTTACCCCAATATTTTTGACCAAAGTTTTAAAGTCAAAATCTGAATTCCCCTTTATTTTATATATTTCTTTTCTTTCATCAATATGTGCATTTTATGTCATTTACAGCATCGTGCTAAAGCTGTAAAAGAACTCGCGCATGCTTAGCTTTTTCAGAGCCAAAGTTTCCTGTAATCATTTAACAGAGGTCATAATCAGTAGTGCTCCAGACTTTTTGACGGTCTTTCAGAGTGTTGCGTCTACCTGCAGCAAATATTTCATTGTGTTGGGCCTAAAAACCATCTTCCTACGATATTTTGTATTTGACGGTTGTGTCTTTTAAGGATTAGGAAAGTAATTAAACAACAACTTCACACAGACCTAAGAGATGGGTTCTTGTTTGGAAGTTATCCATGAAGATGAGTTTTCGTTTTAGACGTCAACAGATCACAGACCTGTCGGAAGTAGCAGCTGTATCTGTAAAATCCCCCACAGCTCGCTAAGAAATCAACTCTTTGGTCAGCAGTGCCTCTGAGTTTGCTTTTGTTTGGACGCCACGGTAACTCACTGCAGTACTGACCAATCGGATGCACCATCAGTTTCATTAACAGCTCAGATTACGTCTCCAGGTTTCTCAGCAGTGAAAGAGGTTTCACAGGGACGCCGGCTGTCGGTACCGCTAGCACACCCAGCTTTTTCCTGGTCTGGAAATAGAAAACAGAGGACATAAACTCAGCCCATTAATGTTCTATTTATTTATCTGCTTTTCCTTCCTTTCTTCCTTCAATCCTAGACATATTTGCCATAAATTCAAAGTTAATTTTTGCGCTCAGTACTTGCGCTTAACCCATTGACTGTCGTGGACCCATTGGATAACATTTAAGCGATTTGGAGGCGATAGTTAAGGGCTTTTAAACTCATGTTATTCCCTAAAAATTTGAGTTTGGATACTTTTTTTTTTTTGTAAAAACCAAATTTTGAAAAGGAAGTGTGCAGGAATCCATCTCTAACTTGCAGGGTCAGCATCTGTCTCCAAGCACACTGTATCATCACTCAGACTGGTCATGTCTGTTTAGCAGTAAGTCAGGCAACTCCTACACAAGTCTATAATCCTTACATTCCGACAAAAATATAAAAATCAACATGAAACCAAAAGTAAAATCTGATTTTCCTTGACCGAGAGAGAGCGCTGCGAATGTACACACAGGCTTTCTTGGACGAAAACAATTTGAAAGGCCTTCAAAAAGTGGTCAGATTTATGTCAAATTGCATTCATGTAATTTTAAGTATTACATAAACGGCGAAATGCAGAGAAGTGAGAATTCACTCAGTACTGTAAACCATTGTCCACAATAATCTCTGCATGAGCCACTGCAGCTCAGCCGAAGATCTCCTCTGGGCATTTTTATGCAGTTGTGATAGTTTTGTAAATAATCAGCTGTTCTCATCTAGACGACAAAAACATCAAATGAATCAATTCATGGAGCTGGACTGCATTGTAATATAATAATGTGTAACATCCCTGACCCATTAAATGGTCAGGGATGTTACAGCAGTCGACTCAACAGTTTGCATGCTTCCTGCTTTACAGCTGCCTGTCTTGTTTTCAATCTTTGGTCATTTGAGAGGGAGAATATCATTTTACAAAAAAAAACAACAAAGAATGTAGTAAAAAATGTAGTTTTGTCATTATTGATTTCCTAATTTCTGTTCAGAATTATGAGCCAATAAAACTCACAGGAGATGGAGAGGCTGAGAAGGTTTAGTTGATGTAGGGCGAACGGCATGCAGTAAGACGCTCATATACCCTCACGATGGAATGAATGTTAAATATGTTTTGTGTTTTTAACTATTTATTTGAACTATTGTTTTTCCAGAGTGGAATGCTTATTGAATAAACTGCAGTAGCAGCAAGAATCGGATGCACCAATTTGAATATGGGGGAATTTCTCTGACATCGATTTAAAAAAAATTGTTTGAGATGGCCATGTAACACTCACATTGAATGAATTAAATATTAAAAATTTCTAATATTTTCAAGTCTTTCTGTTAATTATATATTTTTTTAATTTTTCAAAAGATACTTTTAATCTGACAAATGAGCCTCTGAATGCATCCACACTGAATGTTTCACAATCATTCCACCCTGGGAAAGATGGTTCAAATGAATCATCAGAACCCTAAAATGATCAACATTCATGCTAATAATAAGTGTTTGTAAGCTTCTAACCTCATCTGCAGAAGATATGCTGGGAAAAAATGCATATCTCTTTCTTTTTGGTCTACTGCACTGCATGCTGGTCTCTGTTCATTAAGTGGAGTATGACTCATGTTTTGCATTCACACCAATAAATTAATAAATATGTGACTAATGTGAAAAAACAACTTTATTCTGTGTCTAAAGTTGCTGATGCTATGAGCTTTTTGCTTCCAAGTGGTGAAAGATTAACAGAGAGACGGAGACAATGACTGGTCACAAAGATCGAACATTTGTAGTTCTTGTATAATTTCAGCACAACATAAATTACTAATGTAGAAAAAAAAAATGCAGCGATGTAGTTTGCCAAAACAGCCCGTGGAGGATTTTGTCTTTTGGCAAAAAAAAAGAAAGAAAAAAAGCTGCATAAGCACCCATGGGGGAAAAAAAGGATATAAAAGTAAATCATAGTGAGCTTTTAACAAGCTTCTCTCAGTACTGGTGTCATTTGTTTAATATGGACTCCAAATGAATGTGGTGATGATGTATTAATGGTGCTACGCTTTACATATCACCTTTAAAAATCTCATTAAGTCTGTTTTGAAAAGAGAATAGATGAATACATTATCAGCTCATCGCTTTGCGGCACCTCAGGATCCAGCGAGGAGGCGGCTTTTACTTTTTGGAGGCCTGGCGGCCCTTCTGGCTCCGTTTCAAAGTTTTAGGCATGTTGTTTGGATGGATGGGGTTTGGTCAGAGGGAAAAGATGAGAGCGCTGCTCTTTGCGCCTGAACGTTTTTTTCACTTTCTGAGGAAAAATGATTGCAGTCGGCGTCCATTGTTTCTTGTCTCCAAACACACTCCTGTCACCTCACCTCTTTTATCTCAAATCTTTCCTTTTGCTTAAAACTTTTCCTGTTTCTCTTTCTGCATCCATCAGCTTATCCCCCCCTCTCTTCTGTTTTTTTTTTTTCTTTCGCCCGTCCCCTCAGTCAAAAGCTGAGCTTTAAGGAGCGGGTCCGGATGGCGAGTCCTCGAGGTCAGAGCATGAAGAGTAGGCAGACATCCATCAATGACCGCCAGCGCTGTTCCCCTGGCAACGAGGTGGTGGGCAGCAGTGAACTAATGGGCGGGAGCCCCGCCAAAGTGCAGAAAAGCTGGAGCTTCAACGATCGGACACGCTTTAGACCATCACTGAGGCTGAAGAGTCAGACCCGCACCGCTGCTCCGGACGGTGAGCACGGCACCAAACAGTTGGTTTACTCACCTGGATTCATCTTTTTTTTTTTTTCCTTTTCTTTTCAGCTGGTTAACTTTGATAAAACAGATGAACTATGTCAAAATCATTGAGAGGATTTTTAACAGTTTGCGGCTTTCAAATTTGAAGGATTTGCTTAAGGAAACTTACTAATACATATCAAGGACATTGGTTCACAAGACTGCAGATTTAAAATCACAGATGAACCAAGTGGACATTTTGTGGCTAGTTTTCTACATTTCATCTGCTAAAACTGATTTGGGACTATTTAGGTTTGTCTTGCATCACTACAATTACACCATTAAGAATGTTTCTTTCTAGCCTTCATGCCATCACCAGTCATTAAACATTTGTAGTAGACGCACAGGCAAGATTAAGTCACCTGTGAGAGAGCATACACTGTAAAACACGTGTCAAACTCAAGTCCCGTCACGTCAAATCCGTCCCGCCATAACCATCTCAGGCCGCTGAATTAGAAGCTGAAAACAACATCTCTGTGCTTAAACGTTATTTTTTTCAGTCAAATCAAATCAGTTTTTATTTTTGTAGTGCCAAATTACATCAATCTGGAAGGATGTGAAGTAATTTTTACTTTTTAGAAGTATTTTCTGAATGCAGAGAAAGTTGTAATATTTCATCAGTTTATAGGTAATTTCAACAACTCAATATTCTTCCACAAGCATCCCTTTGAGGATAATCAAGATGCTCATGTGGCCCAAATTGACAATGAGTTCGAGACTCCTGCTGTAAAGCAAAGGTTCTGTATTATTTTAACACAAAATATAAATATATATTTATATTCCACCTTTAAAGCGGTTTCCTCTTAAATAGCATCTACCGTCTCTGCTTCTCATTTGCATTCATTTTAAAACACTGAAAATTACAAACTTGTGTCGAACTGTGACTTCTTCCTTCAGTAACAACCTCCTCACTGAAGAGTGTTGTGTTGATTAGCACCATATTATTGCACCTGGCAAAGATATAATGTGGTACATTCACTAATCGGGAAAAGACAGGATTCTTGAATTTCCCTGTCACCAGTCAAGGTGAAGATCCACTAATTAAAAAAAACAAGAAGTAAAATAATGAGTTATGATGTATACAAAAATCTGCACTGACCTTAATTATGAGGCCGTATATTGCACTTGAAGATTAAAATAAAAGACAGCGGTTCCCATTGCTCTGTGTTTGTCCTATCACAAACAGGATTAGACCTCCATGTTGTGCTTCACGCTCGGCTTTGTCTCCTGTTTATTTTGGAGATCCTGGGGTCCTGTTCAGTGATCCCAGCCAAGGATCGCAGTGAATACAGAGAGGCTGTTAAAATTAGATTTTCACAAGTTTAAAGTTATGAGGTATTTACAGAGTTTGTTTATATATATAAAATCTGTCTGTCTGTCTAGAGAGATAGAGATAGAGATGGATATAAAAAAATCTTTGAAAGCTGAAGCACATTAAACGCTGCACTATGGTTCTCAAGTAAGCTAAGCAGGAAATAAAACTTAAAATGACCAGCAGTGTATAAGGACATATGTGACTAAAACATCACCTTTTGGTTTTATTTCCCCGATTCAGATGTTTGTAAAGCACTCAGCTGTAAAGTTTAGTCTGATTTCTATATGTATTTTTTTTCTCAATTCTAGATAAATTAAAAATTTGTACCACCTACAAATTACCCCCCACCCCCTCCTCTCCTCCAGATAACTGGACTGAAGTAGAAATAGAACGAAATGGAAAAGTAATTACATAACACAGCATCCTAACATTTCTCTTCTGGTTTTGGTCTCCCGTTACTCTCATGTAAAACTTGACAGAAGAAGGATTTTCAGCACCTTTTTGCTGTTGCCAGATCAGTTTTGTTTGTTTGTGGTGGGCCCATTTCTCAAGAGTTTATTTCCATTAACGGTTCAATTGACATGCACTCAGACAATTGAATAAGATCCCAGAACAGCCTCCACAGGAAGTGAAACCCATCTGAGAAAACATTACAGTGAGGGAGTTGGATAATTTGATGAAAGCAGTACTGGGAGATTTATCTGTTTTGATTATTATTATTATTATTATTTATTATTATTATATCTTGTTTGTGTTTTGTAATCCATCTAGATTAGTCCACATTCAGTTTAATCATAAAAAAAAAATGTACAATTGTTTTTTTTGTTTGTTTTTTTGTTGTCCTTCTAAACTCTCCCCGTGTTTTTTTTTTTTTTTTACCCCATAGGATTTACTGGATGATAGGAAATCTCTCAACAGGACAGAATAGAAAGAAAACACTTAAGTGTTTTTCCTCACAGCTTGCAGTATCTGTATTAACTAAAGACAGAGATTTGGAATATACACTCATTATTTTCTTATTCAAACTTTTTCTGTTCAATTTAAAGGCAGATTAAATGTCATGACCCATCTCATCCAAGTACCTCCAAAGACTTGTTGTTGATTGTGATGCTGTGGGCAGGGAAGATCTCTGGTAACAGCCCTACATGCCACACAGACGTCTTTTTAAATGTCTGTCTGGCTCAGAGAGATGTTGGAGTTGGGGATAATACCCTTTCCCTCTAAAACCAACAAAAGAGGTGGTTTGAACTTCCTCCTCCTCTCTCTGCTCTTTGGTGCTGCTCTACATCCACAAAACCTCCTTTTCAACTCCTTGAGGATTTCTAGGTTACTGTTCAGGTGTTATTTGAGCTGTTAGATGCTAAACATCCCCTCCCAGGTTTAAAAAAAAAAAACAATACCTTGTTGCCATGGTTATGCATCACAGCGACTGCTCAAAAGCAAAAAAAAAAAAAGTAAGGATAAAAATCCTTCCGGCTGCACGGCATCCAAACACAGAGGGAATGATTGTCTAAACATGCAATGCCTTAACTAAAGAAATATAAAAGCAAAAGTCTACAAAAAAAAAAAAACAAGCAAAGCAGAGCTACTCTAGCATGCTGCTACCATGAATGATGCAATTCTGAAATGAATTACAGATAAATTTTTATAAGAGTATTCCATGTAAAACTCATTGTAAATAGGTGGATGGATGGATGAAAAGCTAGATAGATAGATATAGATGAATAGATAGATAGATAGATCTCCTAAAAGCTTACATAGTTCAGTTGGCAAACCTTTTCTAATTCCTAATGCTCCCATCCAGACAGAGCATAAATCTTCACCTGCTTAAGGCCAAATAGTATCAGCTTTAAAAAGAATTCCTGACGTCTCCTGCAGAGACCCGCGTTGAAGAAAGTGCTTTATGGGCTTCTCGGACTGGAAATGATTTTCTACGGGCCTGCGTTGATTGATGGATCAGTGCTGCTGTCTCTTGCAGTGGACCCAGGCATGACCACGGACGATTCCTTCGACGAGAAAGGTTGCCATTGTGACATTACTGTGGAGGATCTTTCAGCGCCGCTAAAAGCGGTCATCAGAGCTGTCAGGTAGGCTGGAAATAAAAGCACACGAGTTTGAATTAGGCTAAAACACGTTCATCAGTTTGACCAAGTCACCTTTTGGTTCCCCATGGGGTATATAAACTCATTGTTTTTCAGAGTTTCTTCTTTTTAGTGTAGACAAAATCTACACTAAACCAAGACTGCTACTTGGTTTGAGTGTAAAAAATTAAAGATAATTCCTCGCCTTAGGATAATCCAGATGTCCTACTATTTTGTAAACAAATTTGTTCAAGAATTGGCAACAGTTCAGCATGAGAAGGACGATGATTCTCGCTGCATAGCTGTAGAACCATCACGATGCACTTATCAACCCCTGACCGCAGTAGCAGTGCCCAGAATCATCAACACTCGGCGTTAATTTAAGACCAAAGAACAATAAAATGAGGTGGACTCCGTTACAAGATGTTTAACTTAGACGGCTACATCGTCATTTGTCTGGCAGAGAAAACGAGCTCAGAACAAGTTATTAGTTTGGTATTTGAACACCTTTTTTTTCACGCAACATCGCTAAAGTCCTTCAATTCCCATCTCTTTCACTTTGAGAATCGGATCCACACATGCACAAACTGTGCCTCTATCTTCTAACGTCCACTCAGCGGGCCGCATCCATAGGTTGCCAGATCCCAGCTCTTTCCCAGGGTTTCAGGTTGAGGACTGGACACCCCGTCCCCCAGTTGGGTATGTTTTTGCAGCGGGTCGTCTGTCTCGGGGTGTTTCCATTAAAACTGTGAACCAAACAGACAAGTGGAAACCAGCAGGGAATTTAAAGGAACAAAGACCATATATCTTCTTACCTACATCAATATTGTTCACCCATCAGTGCCTCCCTTCAGCAAATGGACGGAAGTAGTCCTTTGAATTAGAGGTGTTAATTTTTAGCTGTTGTGAAATTCAACTAATATTAGTTTTTGAACAGAAGATTTTGAGACGGACGTCAATTATTGATACCCCTGCAGATTTAGTTTTAAATATTTTCTTTTATCAACTAATAACTACTTTTTCAACAATGAAACCTTCATCTCTCAAGACAATTACACTAATCCCCTTCTTAATAATCAGATTTTTGTTTGCATTAGTATTTTGATGATTTATCTTTGAAGAGCTCTAAGTCTTCAAGGTTGGAAAAACCTCCTTACCATCACTCTAACATGAGCTTAATCCTCAATTTCTTTATCAAATTAAAACTGGGACTCTGACTTAGTCTTCAGTTTTTATGCAGCCCAAATTTGGAACAAACTTCCAGAAAACTGCAAAGATACTGAAAGACCGAGTTTGCCACATTGACCTTGGATGGATAAAATCCATTTAAACCTGATCTTACTGTTCTTTCTGGAGCTCAGCTCAGAAACACGTTGACAGAAAGATTGATTTAAAGGCAAATCAGCTCAATTGTGTGTTCTTAATTCAATTACAAAAAAGTAAACACAAATAAGAATTGAAGTCGATGATAAGCAAGCTGCTGCCGCCATCTGCTGGTCTGTCTTAGCAATTGCATCTCATCAGATTTTTTTTTTTTTTTTTCCACTTAGTTCTATCTAGAGGCAAGTTCCATTAATGCTACACATCAAGACACTTTAAAGAAAGATGAAGTTAAAGTCAAATTCCACCTGGTTCCTTGTGTGATTTGTGTGTTTGTGTAGGATAATGAAATTTCACGTAGCTAAGAAGAAGTTTAAGGAGACTCTGCGTCCGTATGACGTGAAGGACGTGATTGAGCAGTACTCTGCTGGACACCTGGACATGCTCTGCCGCATCAAGAGCCTTCAGACGAGGTCAGGAAACTCTGACACAAAAACACACAAAAGCTTTACGTTGCAATTCTAGAATATTTCCAACCTTTCTCTAAAGGTCATTGTTTAGTTAAGCAACGCTATTTTTACAGGACAGTGAAATTTTTCGGCCTTTACTAGAAACATTTTCACTTGCTGTGCTCTCTATTGTTAATGGTCTCTGTTATATATGTGTATGAAGTTTTAAATTGTGCTCATTTACATTGAAAAATTTATAAAAATACAAACTTAACAAAGTTGAGATTTTTAAGGGAAACAAAATCTTACATTAAAACAACAATATGTAGATTTTAGTGAAATATTGTTTTTACATATTTCTTAAAGCTTTCATTATGCGTGTTGACAGTTTAAAATGGGACAGCTAATCAGTGAAATAATCAAGCTCCCCCTTGTGGTCCTACAGCCATCTTACAAAAATGCTCCACTTCCGCTCAGAAACAACCAATCAGAGCCAAGAGGAGGGTCTGAGAGCTGTCAGTCACGCTTGTGTTGGCGCCTCTTAATGTGCCAATGGCAGAGAAACAATCTACACTTACAGGAAAACTGTTTAGCCGCTTTCATCATTAGCTAACAGGTGGCATGCTAACTAGCCTTTGCATTCATGACAGGCACCATTGTGAAGAACTGTCTGTAACGTAGCAGAGAGGAAAGGGGAGGGCGTGGGCAGTGCATGAGATTATCTGTCTCATATGTTACTGTCAGGACATAGTTTCCGCCAAAGTGCTTCCAGAATACTTGATTTGCAAAGTTTGTCACAAACGTCTTGGTATTCCAAAGGGTTCAATATGCTATGCATTGTACAACAAGGTCTCCAGGTCCTACAAACAGAGCCTGCATAGTCATAAAACCTTAAGATAATGAATATGAAGAATGTGTTGTTTTGTTGTTGTTGTTGTTTTTTTTTTACAGATCCCTCTAACTCCAGAGTATGTATTTAGAAAACCTACATTTTCACTTGTAGTAGTGGAACAGAAAATTGATCTTCCTGGTTTGCCTCTAAACTGACAGTTGGCCTGTAGACAGATGTCTTCACCAGGAGTCCTAATAATTTGCTTCTTATAAGATTTAGCAACCTGTTCACCAACATTTTGTGAGGGCAGATAATTTTGCAGATGTCACTGAAATACCTGTATGATATTTCTTGGTTCCAAATTAGGCTACTTCACCAAAAAAAAAAAAAAAATTTTTAGGATTCTTTGTTTCTTTAGAGTGTCTTTGTTTCCCTGTGTGCATGTTCAGTTTCTTTTCTTTCACCAGACTGGATACAGTAGTTGGACCCCCTCCAAGGTCATTAAGAGGTCGTATCAAGACGTTTTCTTCTTCCTTGCTGCATTCGTATTACAGCCAGAATCAGAGGAAACACTCAGCGTCTGGGTTAGAACTGGCTCTGCCCTGGCTCCCTGGCTCCCCTTTTAACATGGCTGGATACAGCCTGGGTCAAACAGCACTTTGATGTAATTTAAACTTGATTTGTTTGAAATACCACCATATTTGTAAACTCAATACAACTCAATTTCCTCTAATAAATTGTTGCAGAATATTCATATGTTACAAGTGCAGGTTGACCCAGGTTTACCAGGACATTGTTTTCCTTCATCTAGAGTAAACACCACCATTGGAGGTCTTTAGGAATTCTAACTTTATATTATTATTATTATTATTATTATTATTATTATTATTATTACCTCAGTGGTGCTATAGTAAACTTGTCACATATTTCATAGCCAAAAGACAGTGAAATAAATACCACAAAATATTATGATAAAATTTTTGACAAGTATTTCCCATCCCTAGTGGTCAGATAAGATCAGCTAAATCAATAATCTGCTGTTGTTTTGTCACAGTTTTTCCCCACATTAAAAAAACCCATAAGACAAGTGAAACTTGACAATATCTTACTTTGATATTATAAACTTAATTTGAACAAATGAAGGGCCTTTTCTGTTGCCGTTGTGTGCTTGTTGTAAATATAACAAGAGCTATATAGGGTTATATTTAGAGACATGACTGCTTAATTTGCTATTTTGTCATCAACCCAGACAAATGAAATGCCTGTTTGTCAGCCGTTTTCAGAATTGAGTTGCATTGTGATGGCTTGAACTCAAACCCTCTTATTGCTCCTATTAGACTTTGTTTGATAGTGGTGGAAAAAGTCAGGTTTTGTTCTTCTCCAACATTTCCTGTCACCAGAGGGCGACACACTGCAATTCTAAATTGGGATGTCAGTGACTTGTCGAGACTCTGCTCTAATGCTGAATAAGATTCAGATCTACAAGGGATTCAAATCATCAGTTGGACTCCTGAGAAAATGACACACTGCATGTTCAAAGTATCAGAGCCATTTTGATGTAGGATAGCAGTTTGATTATTGTGAAGCAAAGAGTCATTTGCTTCTGCAGTCAGTGAATTTGGTGGCAGTGAAAATATTTTTTTTCACTGCCACAGTTTAGTTCTGTCTCGATAACCTACTTGATCATCTCAAGATGACATGCTTTCTTTGTTGCACAACAAGCGACAAGGATTTGAAGCCTAATTACATAGCTTAATGTTTACACATGTCTCCGCCCATCACCTACCCTCATTCTCATGAACTGCTGTTTGTAGTTTCGGTTTCTTTCATTCTTCCCGTGAAACGGACACTGCGTTTATGTCTTCCTGTAAAGGCTGAAGCTGGAGAGGTACACTCCTTTTCCAGTAAGCCCAGTTTGTTTTGATCTGCTGACTCCAGTCGACTGATTCCTCACTGCCTATCCTCAATCAGTTGTGTTGAAATGAGAAATAACAACAACAAAACCCATCTTCATCAGATTGAACAAATTATCTACGTTGTCCATTTATCTTTAACTGTTATCTAACAGTTAAAGAAAACAAAGATATCTTTGTTTTCCATTCATATGAAGGACTTTTATGGATGTCTGTAAGGCAATGTTTATAAAACACTCAGGAAAGATAGTGGAGTCCAACTGATGCAGTTGAAAACAGATTTATATATTCTGCATAAAAAGACATAATCGGTATTTCTCACTGTCTGATTTTAAATCAGACTGGACTTACCCTGTTTGAGATTACCTAGGTCAGTCAAATTCATTTCTATTTGCTAAATACCACAATAAGACAGAGGGAGAGATTTTTATTATTTCTTCGGGTTAGTGTTATACTACGATTATTGCCCCTTTAAATCATATTCGAAAACCAAGATAGTGTTTGCTTTTCAAGCTGTTATTGGTTAATTCAGTGGTTCCCAAACTTTGTCTCCTTCACTGCCGCACAGGTGTAAACCCAGCGCAAGCGTCTTAGCGCTCCTGTTGCGTTTAAAGGCGGCTCGGAAAAACAGGTTACGACATGTTAACAACGGATTAAACAGTTTTAACTGCTGATAAAAGTGACAGAGGACACAGATATGGGAAGTGTGGAAGCCCCTACTGTATCAAATTGACATAGGAATAACAGAGAGTTGGCCATTCTAAGGTAAAAACCAAGCGCATACAGCGTTCATGTTTGTTTTGGGTTTTTTTTTTTTTTTCATCCATCCAGATGGTTTCCCGCCCCCCCCCCCCCCCCACCGCCCGCCCCCCCCCCCCTCGGGCCACCAGGGGGTAATTTTTTCAATTAATTCAGACAT